TGTGTGTGTGTCAGTGATGTGTGTGATGGTTGTCAGTGTGGTGTGTCAGTGATGGTGTTGGTGAGTGTGGTTCAGTGTGTGTGTCAGTGTGTGTCGTGTGAAGCGTGTGTGTGTGAGTGTGTGAGTTGAGAGTGTTGTGTGTGGTGAGTGTGCGTGGTGAGTTGTGTTGTGTGAGTGTGTGGAGTGTGTGTTTGAGTGTGTGTGAGTGGTTGTGTGTGGTGCGATGGTGTGTTGAGTGTGTGTGTGTGAGTGTTGTGAGTGTGTGTGAGTGTGTGTTGTGTGTGATGCTGAGTGTGCTGAGTGTGGTGTGTGAGTGTGGTGTGTGTGTGTAGTGTGACTGTGTGTGGAGTGTGTGAGAGTGTGTGTGTGTGAGTGTGTGTGTGACTGTGTGTGTGTGTGTAGTGTTGTGATGTGTGTGTGACTGTGTGGTGTGAGTGGTGTGAGTGTGTGTGTGACTGGTGTGTGTTTGAGTGTGTGTGGTTGTGTGTAGTGTGCGTGTTGTGTACTGTGTGTGAGTGTGTGTGAGTGTGAGGTGTGTAGTGTTGTGAAGTGTGAGGTGGACGTGTGACTGTGTGTGGTGAGTGGTGGTGTGAGTGTGTTTTGACTTGTGTGTGAGTGTGTGTGTGGTGTTGAGTGTGCGGTGTGTGTGTGACTGTGTGTGAGTGCTGTTGAGTGTGGAGTGTGTGTGTGGTGTAGGGATGTGTTGTTGAAGTGGTTGTGTGTGGTGTGTGAGTGTGTGTGTGCAGAACACTGTGTTTCTCGGTGGAGGCTGGTAAGCAGGTGTCGTCTGCGGGACGGGCAGCCTGAGGAGGAGCTCGCAGAGTGACTGTCATTGCCGTGTCTCCCTCCCAGCCTGTCACAGCCAGGGGCTGGTGGAGTGCAGGAACGGACAGTGTGTCCCCAGCGCCTTCCAGTGTGACGGAGACGAGGACTGCAAGGACGGGAGTGACGAGGAAAACTGCAGCAACAGTGAGTGCGGCCTGCTGCTTCTGGAACCTTCCTTTAGGATGGTGGGCCTTTCCTTGGAAATAAAGCGAAAGGTCTGAAGTTGCCGGGTGCTTTAGTAGGACTCCGGCATGCATAATTCCAGATGGCCCGGCAGGGTGGCCCTCACGGCCCCAGCGAGCCAGGAAACCCTTTCTTGTTGCAAATACCATTCTCAAGCAACTTCTGCAGAGAAACCATCCCCTCAGGGCAGGTGTCCTCAAACTGCGGCCCTCGGGGCCACACGCGGCCCGCGAGGACATTTACCCGGTCCCCTAGATGTTTTTGCCGCCGCTGCCTGTCCTGCTGAGCAGCCGACTCGTCCCGGGCCCGCAGTGCGCACTGTCCAACGGTCTGGGGGACAGTGACCCGGGCCCCCTGATTAAAAAGTTTGAGGACCCCTGCTTAGGGCGAAGGGTTGGGGTGAAACACCTAAACGGCATGGCTGACTCAGGTGACTGTTCTGTGGGGGAAAGCTGCCACAAAGAGAAAAGTTTAGTGTGTGGCATGAACAGAAAAAAAAAAAAGAAAGAAAGAAATAATAAAGAATAAAAAGAAATAAAATTTAAAAAAAGAAGGAAAAAAGGGCGTAGCTTTTCTGCAAAGCTGTGATATATTATGCTGCACATTAGTGTTACTCGAAAGGAAAAAGAGTCCAGTATTATAAACATTATCTTAGAATTATAGATAAGAAAGAGTATGCATACCCACATACTGTTACTTATATTTAAAAGTGCCTTGTAGGAGTGTCTAGATTTCAGATGACATGTCTGAAAGTAATTGACCGTAATGGGTAAGAGAGAGAGAGAGAGAGAGAGAGAGAGAGAGAATGGGCAGTGATTTATTACCTTATCCATTTAATCTCCAAATGACCAGAAAATCGATGGGAAAAGCAGTTTCCTCTCCATGTACCTTAAGGAAAAGCCATTAGAGCAAACGCTGATGTTACTGTTGTCATTCGCTTGGAAACAAGAAACCTGGCTCTCAAGTCGTCACAGCTAGGCCAATGACACTTTCCAAGGATATACCGAAAATATGGATAACAGCTGCAGAAGACTTGTATCATGATGGAGTAACCCTACTGCGTGGCTGTTGATGCCCTCTTTATTATTAAGAAAACCATTTGCCCTAGAGGGAAGACTACAGTTGGGAGAAAAGGAGTCAAATTAAATGAAACTTGATTAAATGTTAATTTAATGTAATATCCGGAATCCCAAGATCTTTATATTGCTCTCACTCCCTCAAACCACTTGAATTTTATTTTGTAATCAACTGTAGGTGCCCATGTAAACAGAAAGCACTATTTTTTCCATTAAAACCAAACCAACAACCACCTGGTTTTTTTTGTTTGTTTGTTTGTTTGTTTGTTTTTTTTTAAGTGTGGTTGGTCTCTTATTCCTTCCTTCCTACTTTAGAATACCCAGATTGTATTTAGTTGCCAGGAAAATGAATCCGGAAATCACCTCTCCAACATGTGCTTGACATTTTTTTGGAGAAATTGAAAGGAAATTAGAGTTGTGTCATTTCTCAGCTCCACCAGACGCTGCTATGTTTTAGATCTTAGGGTGAGGGATTTGCAGATGATCAATGCCATCATCTTTCCTTTCCTCCCCTCTCTAGGTCAGACCCCATGTCAGGAAGGAGACCAAAGATGCCTCCACAGCTCCTGCCTTGATTCGTGTGGTGGCAGCTCTCTCTGTGAGCGGAACAACAGTCTGAACAACTGTAGTAAGTGCCACAGCTGACAGGTGCAGTCCCCCTGGCAGGACATGCGTTCGGTGTTTTTCTTCCTTATTGACATTGCAATGCTGAAGTCTGGAATCCCTGCAAAAAAAAAAAATAAATAAAAGTATCCCCTGCTTTCTTTTTCTTTTTTAAAGGTTGCATGTGGTAGCAGAAAAAGAAACAAAGTGGTCTTAATCAACTTAAATCAGAAACAAATGTGTCATGGTGGCTGGGCTCTATAAATCCACATTGCTTGATGTCCTTACCATCACGTTCCACTCGACATTCGCTTCCGTATTTATTATTTCCTTGGGTCCATCTGCAGGCAGGATGCTGGCTTTCTTCCTTTTCAAAGCACGGCTTCAAAAATCGGAAACTTTATCCAAGAAGCAAATGTGAAGTTCATTGCAACAGCCACATAAAACGTTGGCGGTCTGTTCTTTTAATGACATTTATTCTCACCTTTCCAGGAACGCTGATGAGTTTTGGTGGCAATGTGACAGCTCCAAATGCTGTAAGCAGGTGGCTCTAGATTGGCTTTCAGGGGGAGGAATTATTCGAGGAAAACAGAACGGGCAGAAGTGAAAGAACACTGTATAGACCCCCCCAGAGGGAATTTTAAATGAGTCAGAAAATCCCCAATGACTGATTTCTAGTAGTGATTTCTTACTCCTGGGGCTCTGCTTTGATATTATGCTTATTTCTTTCACATTTAAAATTTATTTTTTTTTTTTTAGAGGTGGGGTTTCTCTCTGTCACCCAGGCTGGAGGGCAGTGGTGGTGTCTGTCATAGCTCACTGCAGCCTCTAACTCCTGGGCTCAAGCGATCCTCCTGCCTCAGCCTCCCGAGTAGCTGGGACTACAGGCATGCTCCACCATGCCTGGCTCTTTCACCTTTTCTAATGAACTTTCTGTCCCACCTTCAGCTTGGGGCTAGAACTTCAGAAGCAGGTCAGTCAGCTTGCATTTGGCTGGAGAATGCCACTCGGTAACACACGTGTTCTCAGTGGAAGGCCGTTGGAAGCTGGGAGGCTGACGGGCTCAGATCCTTAAGCCCGCTGCAGTTTTCAGGTCCTGGTTTTACCTGGTGACTTTTCTGGGTCAGTGGAGAGCTTATAGGAGCGCCCCTCTCACTGTCAGGGAGTCTGGGGGCGGGGAAGAGGGTCTGGGCAATTAAAACCCCAGACTGATGGGACTTTGGTTTTCATGGCTAAAAACACAAAGCCCATCTCTCATATGAAAGAACAGGAGGGGCCAGTGTGGTGGCTCACGCCTGTCATCCTAGCACTCTGGGAGGCCGAGGCGGGAGGATCGCTCAAGGTCAGGAGTTCGAGACCAGCCTGAGCAAGAGTGAGACCCTCTACTATAAATAGAAAGAAATTCTCCAAACAACTAAAAATAGAAAAAAATCAGCTGGGTGCGGTGGTGCATGCCTGTAGTCCCAGCTATTCGGGAGGATCACTTGAGCCCAGGAGTCTGAGGTTGCTGTGAGCTAGGCTGAGGCCACGGCACTCACTCTAGCCTGGGCAACAAAGTGAGACTCTGTCTCAAAAAAAAAAAAAAAAAAAAAAAACAGGAGGTACTGGTCTGACCACAAAAAAACCACACACAAACTGCCATTTTACTCCCTTTAAACTGATTTAAGTATATAGATATTTCTCTTTCTAATATATGCATATTCATATATATATACAAATGAAAAGGTAGATATTCTGGGGCTATTTTTTCCATTGTTTCATTTTGTTCATCTCTTAATCCAGTGGGGAACATTTTCAGAACTATTTCTTTACTTCACTTGCTCCTTGGGCTGAATCATTTTGAACAGTAACAGTGTCATCCCAAAGACATGTGTTTATTATTAAAATTTTGAGGGTAGTTTGACATGGAATGGCACTTACTATTAGACTCAAAACACCAGAAAGGGTGGCGTTAGCCTGTGTCCAATTTGAGTAAGGAATAACGGGGTGTATGCTATCCTATTTTCTCCATTGTTGAAATATTTCAGAATTTAAAATTTAAAAATAAGGCTGGGTGCGGTGGCTCACGCCTGTCATCCTAGCACTCTGGGAGGCCGAGGCGGGAGGATCGCTCAACGTCAGGAGTTCGAAACCAGCCTGAGCAAGAGCGAGACCCTGTCTCTACTAAAAATAGAAAGAAATTAATTGGCCAACTAAAAATATATGGAAAAAATTAGCTGGGCATGTGCCTGTAGTCCCAGCTACTTGGGAGGCTGAGGCAGGAGGATCGCTTGAGCCCAGGAGTTGGAAGTTGCTGTGAGCTAGGCTGACGCCACAACACTCACTCTAGACTGGGCAACAGAGTGAGGCTCTGTCTCAAAAAAAAATTTTTTTTAAATATATTGTCACCTGTCAAAAAAAGAAGTTTAGGGAGGGCAACTGCGTTACTGTGGCTCATACAGTCAACCAGTATTTATGGTGTGTGCACGATATTCTAGCATTGGCAGAAGCACCGAAGGGAGACATACTCCTAGAATCCTGGAGATAATTTTTCAGTGTGGAAGAAAATACTGTCATCTTCCCACTCGTCTGTCTATACTACATTGGTTTTCTCTTTATGTTCTTTAAATATATTCAGTTTCCCTGGCATCTTACTGTTTCGACAGCTTCCCCATTCATTATATTGTGTTTCCCCAAAAATAAGCCCTATCCATAAAACAAGCCCTAGCAGGATGTCTAAGCATGTGCACAATAGAAGCCCTACCCCGAAAATCAGCCCTAGTGATGGGCGTGGCTATGAAAATCAGCCCTAGTGATGGGCGTGGCTATGAAAATCAGCCGGACTTTCTTGAATGCAGTAAGGTTGATCGGATCTTGTGTTTTTATTTTTTAATAAGGCATTCTTCACAGAGTGCAAGGAAGATAAACTCTTGAGATATCTGTCGACCCCAAATCCTATGATTTATGACATCAGTAAACTTTTTTTATCTTAGGCATTAAGATCACTCATGACCCTGATTTGCAATGGCCACTAGGGGGCAGTCGCATCACAAACATGCAAGGGTGCTCCAATGCCACACAATGCTGTTTCCAACACGAGTTTGATGCCTTGCTCAGCACAACGTCCTGAACACAGATGGCGTTGAATAAGTATCTGTCAAAAAATAATCCTGATAGGGGCGCCCGTGGCTCACGCCTGCAATCCTAGCACTCTGGGAGGCCGAGGCGGGAGGATGGCTCGAGGTCAGGAGTTCAAAACCAGCCTGAGCAACAGCAAGACCCTCTCTACTAAAAATAGAAAGAAATTAATTGGCCAACTAAAAATATATAGAAAAAAAATCAGCCGGCATGGTGGCACTGCCTGTAGTCCCAGCTACTGGGGAGGCTGAGGCAGGAGTCCTTGAGCCCAGGAGTCTGAGGTTGCTGAGAGCTAGGCTGACGCCACGGCACTCACTCTAGCCCGGGCAACAGAGTGAGACTCTGTCTCAAAAAAAAATACAAAAAGATCTTACAGGTACTGGGGTATGACTGGATGTGGTTGCTCAGGCTACTAAACTCTGTTCTTCGAAAAACTATGTATTATCATAGATTTGGTTTTTAAGCTTTTTTTAAAAAAAAAAATGTAGGTACTTTTGGGAATCTAAAATAAGCCATGGAACTTCTCCACTGAAAACTACACGTAGGAACACGGAAACTTGGTCACATTGATTTCAGAGATTCACACACCTCTGCAGCCTAGTCACCAACAGGCCAGGAGAGAAAGGTTCTCAGCCTTGGCCACACACCGCAGTCACCTGGGGGACTTACAAACGCTGGTGACCGCGTCTTCGGGGACCGTTAGAAAGTTACATGATACTTTATGGCACTGGGAGGACCAGCGTCTTCAAGGACTAGAATAACCCAGCAGCTCCAGCGGGAAGCTGGCTCCCCGGACAGAATCCCCACGGCCTCCAAGCTCACACTCCCCACTGGCGTCACGCCACGGGAAGAGGCGCTCTCAGCCGTGCTGCCATGCACAATAAATAATCTCATAATAATATCTATTCTATCTTATTTTATTCTTTGAGCGAGTCTCAGCTTTGCTGGCCGGCCTAGGTGGTGCCGGGCGTCAGCCTCGCTCACGAGCAACCTCCATCTCCTGGCCAAGCGATCCTCCTGCCCCAGCCTCCCCAGTACCGGGACTTCAAGGCCTGGCCACCATGCCGACCTAATTTATATATAATATTATATTCATATTTAATGTATATATAAAAATATATATATATCATAATATATAATTAATAAATAATATATAATTATTGTTATATTAAATAATATATTATAAATATATAAATTATATATAAATGTATATATAAGTATATAACATATAATTTAATATATACTGCCATGATTTTTCTATTTATAGTACGACCTAATATATAATAATATATGTTACATATAATATATATTATAAAATATAATAATATATAATTTATCATATAAAAATTTATATATAATATATATTTTTAATATATATTTTACTAGCCCAATGAAATTTTTATAGAACAGAACTAATATATAAAAATATTTTATATACAAAATATATATTATATGTATATATAATTAATATAAAAATATTATATAATAATATAAATTTATAAATATATATGTTTTATAATTATATTACTGGCCAATGAATTTCTTCTATTTATAGTAGAACGGTCTCGCTCTTCTCAGCTGGTGTCGAATCCTGACCTTGGAGTTGACTCCCACCTCGCTCCAGAGTGTGGGATTCCGGGCGTGAGCCAACCCGCTCAGACAGTCATACTAATCTCTGATCATGGTAAACCTCATCCAATGATCACTCGCATTTTCGAGCGTCCGAAGAGTTTTCTGAAAGGACATGCTACTTGCTCATCTTTGCAGAGAACCAACACACATACCGTGAATTCTTGAAGCACAGGATAAAACCTTGACTCAATGAAAGCTAGGCACATGCACTGTTTTTGATAACACAGGAGGAAAGAAGGACCAGTGCCTAGCTCAGTGCCTGGCACTCAGAAGAGGGCACGCTCAAATATTTTCTGACCTGCGGAAAGAA